AAATTGTTGAATAACTGTTAGTAAAAGACTAGTCCTTAGTATTTGCAAAAAGAGTACAATTATTTAAGTGCTAGTCCAAGGACCAAAGTCCAAAGCCCAAAGTAATGTGTTTATAAAAATAACTTTTTAAGACAGAGTTTGTAAGAAAATAAGTTTTACAATAGTAAAATGTAAGTCAATCTTATAAATCGAATCTTACTAATACATAAAAACAAGTCACTAAAACCGTTGTAATCACTAACCACGAAAACTACTCAACCGATCTCGCTAAAATTTTGGATACTGATTCTTGACACTTCCTATATGGTTTTGGTACAGTTTTTATTTTAAAAAACTTAATTACAATAGCAATAATTAAGCTCAAAATTTTGTAAAGATACGCTAGCTTTTCAAGTTAGTTCACTAGAATCCAGTAGGTGGCGTAAAAGTCAAACCGAAGCTACCAACAATAGATTTGAGTAACTCTATTTACTGTATTCTCTATCCCCGAGCAAAGTACCGAATACCACAATAGATCATCAGCAATGCATGAAGTATAGAGTAGGGAGTCATGCAGCTAAGTATCCTGGCTACTGACAACAATCTTCTCCACTGAACAAGCAACTTACATTAAAATTCCATCCCGAATCACAAAAACTAACGAGTGCCACGGATAAACGGGATTCTTAATGCCAACGTCTCTGGTGTAATACCAGGAGACGTCTAGCCAAAGTACAGTCTGATCTAATAGTCAGGAGTTTAGCGAATGTTCTTTTAACCTACCTGATTCTGTCGAAGCAGATTTTGCTACTACAGCAAGCCAAGAAAAACGATCCTGAGGAGCTTGGGGAGCTTCATGAACTGGAAGTTTCATCAGTCTCTTTCTCTCTGGCTCATCCTATAGGCATACCCACAGAGAAAATATTCTCCATGGCCCACTTCTCCAACCAACGGTGAATAGTTGGTTATCTGGAGAACAACCCGGAAATAAGACATTCTCTGATCAGCGGCGTACCTTCCTCCAGCACGGTCTCCATACGCAGAGACTCTGAGAGTCAAGCTACACGCACAGCCCACTTTCCACCAATGATAATAATAAGGCATAGCTGGAAGTTTCGTCACTGGCCCTTTTGAGGGCCATTATTTACGTTTCCTATTTAACCATCAATCTCAGCATTCTCTAAAGCAGATCTTGAAAAACGGATTTTTTCTACATGAAAATCATAAAGTATCCGCTCAGGTTTTTGATTTTAAGTCGGAAACCGCTCGTTCAGCTAATTTTTCAATGCTCTTCCATATGAGTTAGCGTTACACGGTTTAACTTTGAGCTAGAATTTCTTGGGATTTCGTACAATTTTGAGGATAAACAGAGTTACCACTGGATTCAGCAGATTTTAATTTATCAATTTAAACATATTTTATCCCTGAGATTCTTGCCAGGGAGCTACCTTAAGTGGTTTGTGAGCTGTTATGTGATTTGACAGATAATTTATCATTTTGACAACAACTCTAAATTGTTAACATATATTATGTCTGAAATGTTCTAAAACACTTATAAATAGCAGATATTATAAAAAATGTTATGAAACTTTTATAAAATCTTGAAATTTAAGAACAACGTTATCGTGGTGTAATTATATCAAAAGCATGGAAAATCATACAACAACTCGGATATTTATGAATACCATGGGCTGATAATCTCATTTTTTAATACCTTATCATTAATCATATTGAAAATAACAAGCTAGTTTTGAAGAAAATCAATTACAGGCTTTATTTGTATCACTAATATCATCCGTTTTTCGTAGAGTTAATCTATATTTTCCTCATCAAAGAATAAAACTGTGAAATTTATTATCTTTAAACAGCATAAGCAATACTTTTGCAAAATTTAAACTAATGATGTACAACATTATTATAAAGTTATTCTCAATGTTTGGGACACTCTAGTTGTAGGTTAAATTTTGGACCAACTAGCTTAATTTATAAAAACTTTTGTTCTTATAAAGATCGGAAAAAGATTTTTGGATCTCTCACGTGCACAAATGCCGAAACTTCCCTTATGAAACAACAAAAATTTGGTCGTGGAAGAAAAGTATTACATTTTTAACACATAAAGAAGGTTCATATTTTTAAAGCTTATTTTAAGCTGTCTTGCTTTATCTTTAAAAGTTTTTACATTACAACTCTTTTTAGCTTACAAGTGTCATCCATGCACGGCTACTTTACGGTTACTCAAGCTGCAAAATAGCTCCAAAGGCGATGATGCTTCTGTGACAAAAACTACCATTGATAGGCGAGGCGTGGCATAGTAATTTCGTATGATGTCTATAAGTATATACGCCTATTAAGTCTCAAATTTAAGGTTATACGAATGTAAATATTGAGATAAACATATTACTTGATTTGATTTATTAGGGTTGAACATTGATACGTGCTGACAATTAATTTTGAATCGACTAACTATCCGTTGTTAATACCGTGGTCCACAGAAAACCCTTTGATTTTTTAACTTTATTGTGTCTATGATAAACAATCCATGTTCCCACATGTACTTTATATATACTTGCGCGGACATCATGTCTCGTGGTCTAGTGGTTGTGGAGCCTGACTCGGACGCTCAAAGATGAAAGTTCAAATCCCAGTCACTGCAGACCTTTTGTAAAATAAAAATATGTTTCAAATTCATCAATATTAATTTACCATAAGAAATAAAAATCTTTTTAATACATATGTTCTCTGGGCAATATGTATGCACATATATATTTATCTTCTCTTACATACTAACATAAAAATTTTTTCTGAGCAAAGTAAAAATTATTATGTTGAGTAACAAATTTTACTATTATCTGAGTTTACTACGTAGCATAGTAATTTTTATAATATGACGAGGGTGTCTCAGCTTTCCTATAAAATATAGTAATTTTTATTATAGTTGTAATACTTTTTCTAACACCACTTTTCTCTGTGTATTACCTTTTATCACAACATGATTTCATTAACATAGTAAAATAATATTGTTTTCACAATAATCTCAAATTTTCATTGCATTACTTTTGTTTTAACGTGGATTTTTGTTGGGTTTAAAAAATTTGTAACGTATTGTGTTCTGAGCTTCAAGTGTAAGAAAACTGTTAGCTTAGTCATATATTATTAGCTGGCCGAAAGGCCGTTGCAAGATTCTCTCTGGAGACACGGAAAAACCGGAAACATTACTTACGTTGTTGTGCTTATTTTGCATCGACTTTATCAAAATACTTGGTGGCTTCAGCAAAAAGAGATAAACAAATCCATTGGTCAGTAGGTGGTTGGACACCCGAGTATGAAGTTACACTTCTCTGGAAGATGATATATACATGCAGATATACCTTTTCCAAAACACTCAGTAAAACAACCCACTGCAATGTATTGAAAGTGATGCAATTATCCTTACAATTAAAATATTCGATAATAAAATGTGGTTATACGAAATGTCTTAAGATTTTAATGAAAAACTCTGAAGAATGATATATTTAGAACAACTTTTTATGTGTAAAACATTTATTAGGGCACACTTTTACCTGTCATATGTAAATATAATACCTACAGTGTATATTTACAAGAATATTTATTCAGTTACATTAAATAGTTGAATAGTATATATGGTCAATAAAGTATACTGCAAACATAATAATAGGGTATGTCTAATAAAATCAATGAAAATAAAATTAACAACACTGTTTTTTTATGCGTTCAATTAGAAATCTCCCAATTTGTGCTATACAATATATTGCAATGAGAAAAACCAATCAAATTTTTAAACAGATCTACAAATTGTTTTTTTTTTTGCTTTAAAAAATCAGAAAACAGATGTTCAGTATGCATTAAAGTACATATATATTTAGGTATATTTGTATTAACAAAATGATTGCCATATTTGCGCTTCTCTCACCTTTCTGAACTTTTCCCTTGACAACTGTGATGAACGACTTTAACTCAAAAAACCACCTTAGTCATGAATGAAACAATTGTGATACAATTAAACGCAATGAAAATCAATAAATTTAATAATAAAACCTCGCATGAATAAGCCATTGAAAAGTTGAAATAAATGGAAAACTGCTGGGAAAAATTTTGAAAACTTAAAACAAAATCTTTTAAATTGTAGAAAAAATGATTAAATTTTTTTTAAAATAGCAAACTAATGAAAATAAGATAAATGTCAATTAATATATAAGAAAGCTGCTGATAAAAAAAATTATTTTATAACTTTTTACGAATGATTTTTTCCGCCTTCTAACCTGAAAATAGCACTTTCAACAGGCAAAAAAATAACATACGAAACTCGTTAAAGAATACGGCTAATTTACGGCTCGTGCCGTAAACCTCTCGGTTCGTAAATCGAAGCCTTTGCAAACTCGTACGTAATATACTAATTCATTAGGAGAAGAAATAGTTAACTAAATGATGTAATTTACAATCAAATCAATTTGCTTAACAAACAATAGATGAATACTTTAATTTAAAAAAGTTACAAACCACACCATAAAAAAAGTATGTGATTTCTTTATATAAGGACCACTTATAGTAGAGTGGACAAGGTATTAGATTCTTGTACAGAAGATTACCAACTTCAATTTTAAGGAAAGTGTTTTTTATTTTTCGAAGAGAATCAGTTAAAGAATAAGAAATAAAATTTATTCAAGTTCGAAATGTATACTGTACTATGATGGCTTAGTGTGATGTGGAGGGAGCTGACGTGGGGTGGCATGAGAAGACAGGGTGGAGTGAGGGGGAGTTGAAACAAGAAATCCTCTTCTATCACTTATTTTCTAAAGGTCAGAGTTCTAAAACCGTTGGTTTACTCGAGCACATAACGTGCCTGTACAAGTACAACCCCAAAAATGAAATCCTTTTATAAAAAGTAAGAAAAATCGGACATTTTTATGCTAGCAGTGAAGAGGTTATAAACTCATATTAATCATGCAAGAAAAATTTTGTTTTTTTGTGAATAACCTATAAAAATAATTTTTTTTTTTCAGCTCGTCAGTTTACCGCATGAACAGCGTTGGCAGCATCGGAAGCAGTACCAGCACTCCATACCCTACGATCTATGTGAATCCGTTGGAACTTACGCAAGTGTCACAGCAACTGTGGCCTAGTCAAGGTAATTAGTTAGAAAACACCTATTATTACAGTAGTTCTGATAAGCTATGATGAAAACAAAGTCAAAGCCCCAGATCATTAGAGGGTGGTGACTTTATACTTATAATAGTACGATATTTGGCTGGAAATTTGAAAAAAAAATACGTAAAATTACATTAAACTGTAACGAAGATACGCATCATTATTTATCTTTACAAAATAACTTGGTTATCAGCTGTTTTTATTTATGATAAGATATCCTAAGAAGAGTTTATTCAAAAGAAAGATTTTAAATAAAAAAAAATGTTTTTAACAATGTTATATTGAAATTAGGAACTATAAAAAAATATGAGAATATTTTTTTATAAACATGAAATAAATACGGTAAACTGTGGGGATTAGCTATATCCATCTCTATTAGTTTTTTGTTTCGCATGTGCCAAAGAATATGTGAACTTTTTTTTAGACCAAAAAAACAACTTTGACGAAACTATTTATAAAAAAATTGTAAAAACAAATTGCGACAACATTTTGATTTAGCATCAGGCACTTTTAGGTACAGTAGCACATTTTAAAAGATATGGCAAAAAAATTTGTATCCGAATAATTTTTCCCCGTGAATGTCTGATTGGCTTCGGACTAAACGAAATTTCTTTACTTAGCATCCATCGTACAAAAACTTCTATTTTTAAATTATATAAGTATTACCATTAAAAATAAAAAATTAATAGTCCTGCTGAAATAACCAGACTATAATATTTATTTTTCATATTAAAAATGAAATTTGAGTAAAATTTTTTTCTCGAAATTGTTGACAATAGGAATTGATGCTAATGCACGTTTTATTAAGTCTGCTGTAACCCACAAGGCTATCATGACATTCAGCTTTGTGACACATGAATCATATATATAAATTAGGATTATATGCCTAAATATAAGTGTAGTGAAAGAAACTTAGGTACGACAAAAATGAGTGAAATTACACCTATATTAATTCTCTCTCTACACCTATCATGCTTACAACTGCAATATTATATACATGGAAAAATTTCACCCAATCTGATGCATGTTAGAGAAATAATGTTGTACTGTTCTTGATTTTCTGTCTCTTTATTCTTGTCTTGATGTCTATAGGCATACAATACTCCCCCATGCACATAATATTCTCTAAGGACGTCCACTATATATTAAATATCTAGCTAAAAAGAAGGTTTTTTGAAAAACTTAGTTTTTGCAAGTTATTTGGCTTTTGTATAATGAATAAGACTTGATGAAAGACATTAATTGCATTCTTATTCATGTACGTTACATAAATCTTGAACGTATAAAAAATCTTTAAACATAATAATAGGGTATGTCTAATAAAATCAATGAAAATAAAATTAACAACACTGTTT